TGCTAAGAATGGAAGGGCATCGTTGTGTTTGTCTCCATTCAAGGGAGACCAGCATTCACATCTCTGTATTTTCCTAAGTTTTTGGGAGACCTTCGTGCAGTTTGCAGCTCCTTTCGTGATTGTGTTAGGGCAGAATATACCCCGATAGCTGGTGGAATATAAGTACCCACAAGATTAAGTTCTGTTCTTGTTTGGTAATTGCTGGTGCTCTGTTGTATCGTTTCAAGTTTTGGGTTTTTTTGTTTTGTTTTTTGTTTTTTTGATCCTAACAATCACTCAAGGTTATTACGAGAGGAAACTGAGGCTCAAGTGAGGTAACTAGCTTCTGAAACAGTTAGTTGCTAATTAAGGGAAAGCCAGATAGGAACTCCATGCTTATGATATTTTTAAAAACTTGCTTAACTGAATATGGATTTAGGTTGTGGGTGTGTACCCTCTGCAGCTCATAGTTGTTAAGAGACCTAAACCATTCTTTGAGTTAAATGGTAAGCTTTGGCAAAAGAAAAAATCTTTCAGGCATCTGCCTAATTATAGTCTCATGTCTATCACCTAAGTTCCCAGTTCCAGCAGGATAGGCCTCATCTGGGAGCTTGCTGGAAATGTAGAATCTCAGGCCTCTCTCCATCTACTGAATCAAATTTTTTTAAACAAGATCCCTTGGGTAATCAGAGTTCCTTAAAGTTTGGGGAGCATGCAGTATTATCTTAGAATGATCTGTTTGTCCAAATTGAACTAAACAAAAGAGGGAAAAAAAGGTATGTATTGTATCCATTTGTGTTCTTTTTTTTATATATATATACATACGTATATATATATTAACATTTATTTATTTTTCGAGAGACAGAGTATGAGCGGTAGAGGGGCAGAGAGAGGGAGTCACAGAATCTGAATCAGGCTCCAGGCTCTGCGCTGTCAGCATAGAGCTGGATACGGGGCTCCAACTCAGAACTGCGAGATCACGACCTGAGCTGAAGTCGGATGCTTAACCGACTGAGCCATCCGGGCACCCCATCCATTTGTATTTTAATGGACTAGGGAAAAGTTCCACATTTTTCTCATTTACTAGTGAGACTTTGATTTTTCTTTATGTCTGTGTTGTCAAGTTTAGCTTACTTAGAAAAGAATGTTTAAAAATCAATTAAAAACTAACTTGTAAGGTGTCAGGTACTGGTCTAAAAAATGAAATGAGACAAGAAAGATGTTAAATACTACTGCTAATACAGTCTCAAGAACTTTCTGTTTACTCACACATCATCAGTACACAAATTCCCCACCATAATTCCCCCCCCACAATTTTGTTCCTTTGATCAGGAACTTTTCGGTCATTTTCTTTGGAAGGAGCCTGTAGGTTGGCTACTGCTAGTAGTTTTTTTAGTTTATTCATTTGGTTATCTGGCAATAAAACTGAAACATAGTCCCCAAATCACTTTCAGGGATTACTGTATGTTGCACAGGAATTAAAGTATGTAGAATTTTAATGTTTAAGGTTTCATTCAGATGTCTCTAGCCATATTAAAAAGACGTGTACTTATCAAGCACTGTAAAGTGTTAATTGCTTTTATTTGTACCAGGAATCCCCTGGAATGATGCTTTGGGCCCTGCCTCCAAGGATTCCTGGTGAGGGCTGGGTATGGGCCTTGGAATCTGCATTTTAATGATAATCTCAGTTTATTCTGATGTAGGCTATCCGGGTCCACATTTCTTGGCATTGGTATTTTAAATGAAAAATGCAACTAGAGAGCAAGCTTATTTTCTTTTGAACTTAATGTGGTACTCTTTGTAGAAGAAAGGAAGAGAATTTTTAACTTACATTATGGGTCATAGGTTGCTATAAAATTGTTCAGATCAGTATATTTAAAAGGTTATTTAAAAATTATTTGAGATCTGCCAAATTTGGGAATAAGAGAGGGTAGGATAGAATGAATACCAAAATATATCCTTTAAAAAACACTTTCCAGCCTATGAAGGCTAACATTTTTATCAAACAGCCTGTGTGAAAATGATACAATTAATATAGAAAAACTAAATGTATCTAATACATGAATTGGGGTTAAAGTTCTAACTTTTACTTATCTGTTTCCATTTTCTTAGCTGTTCATAGCTATCTTGCAAAAGCTGCTATGTGAATTCTGCAATACACAAAAATATTGATCATTTAGCAGGATTCAGGCAATTCTCAGAGTAACTTGATATTGGCAATATTAAATAAGGAAAGAAAAATGAACTTTAACCCTGAGGAATTCTCTCTTGAAGTTTTATAAAAACCCTTCTAAGTTGGGGGAGAAATCATAGTTCTGTCTACCTTTCTTCCCTTCAGTTGAGTGCCATAGGAAATGCAGTGCTTGACTACAATTTCTGCCTCTGTTATGTCTGGATTTTTGGCGCCTTGTGGTATTCCTGATCCTTTCCTTGGCTGATCCTGTTTTGAGCCCTCTCCTGGTCTGTGGGCTTTGAAGATTGAAAGTTTTAAATGTTTTGACTTTTATTCATCTCTAAGGAACAGGAAAGGCCATAACTTTTTCAGAATCATTCCCACTAAATAGTTAACTAATGCCTTTTTTTTTTTAAATGTTTATTTTTGAGAGAGAGAGACAGAGACAGAAAGCAAGTAGTGGAAGAGCAGAGAGAAAGGGGTCACAGAATCTGAAGCAGGCTCCAGGCTCTGAACTGTCAGCACAGAGCCCGATACGGGGCTTGAACCCAGGAACTGTGAAATCATGACCTGAGCGGAAGTCATCTGCTTAACCGACTGAGACACCCAGGCACCCCTCAAACAACTTCTTAAATAAGAATGGAGCTCTCCCGTTCTAAGGTCCTGCAAAGGGACCTCATCCAGAGTATTTGGTTCTTAAATGGGATTGGCTCTTAGGCCTTTCAGCCAGTAATTGGTTCGTCGGGTTCCAGTTTTGGATAAGATTCATGCTGGTAACAGCACATAAAGCTCAATGGTAAGCTGGTTTGTAAACAGGGATATTCAGGATGCCAATCTCTATAGAGCCACCTAAGAGGCAACATGCCCCCAAACGTGTTAGTCTTATCTGTGTGTTCAGTCTGTTGCTTTTTTTCTGAATCCTTTTTTTAATTGCCATAGTAACAATAATATTTTCATTTTTTGACAATAACCTGCCAAATACTATTTTGCTAAAGCCCTATTTTCTCTGAGTCCTTTAATTTTGCATTTGCTTGCATACTTAAAAAATTTAATGTATATTTAATGATTTCTTTTTGCCATGTGGTATGAATTAACTTGCTTAGCAGTGGTTTTAAATTGCTCAGAAGTCATTCCAACACCATTTATTGAGTAATCTTACTATTTTTGATGGATTTTTTTGGCTCCATGTAACTTAAAACTGTTACTTATTGAGCATTTACAGTGTCAGGCACCAGTCTAAACCCTTTTCTGTGTATTATTTTATTTAGATAGTACACCATTTGGTAGCTGCTATGATTAGCCCTATTTTATAGATGAAGAAACTGAGACAGAGTAAAGGATTTGCCAGAAATCACGTTTACCAAGTAGTGGAGCCTTGGTCTGACTCTCTGAGAGCCCACTTTCTTATACTGAATGTATATAAGTAGCTTTCCTGGGAGAAGTATCTCTCTACTGCTCTGTGCCCCCCCCCCCCACTTTATTGTTTATAGCTTTGTATATTTCAACATATGGTAAGGCTAACTCTGCCTTATTACCTTCCCCGCCTCCCCCCCCCCCCCCCCAAATAATCTTTAATAGCCTTTTTGGAATTAGAGAAAAATTTTATCCCTCCTCTCCCGCCCTACTTGTTACTGTTTTTGAAATTGGAATTAAACATACTGATTGGGACGTATGGGTGGCTCAGTTGGTTAAGCATCTGACTTCAGCTCAGGTCACAATCTTGTGATTCATGGGTTCAAGCCCCCCATTGGGCTTTCTGCTGTCTGCCTCTCCCCTGCTTTAGCTCTCCCTCTCAAAAATAGATATTAAAAAAAAAAAATAAACATACTGATTGATTTGTGGAAAGTATTTACACCTTTATATTCTTACTGATAAGGAATATACTGTGTAACTTGCTTAATGGAAGTTGTTATTTTTAACTTTCTGCATATATGACTATTATTTCTTGATATTTTTTTCTTTGACTTTTGTACGTTTAGCATGTTATATTTTCTAAAATACTCTGTTTATTTTTGTGGGAAAAAGTTTTTGAATTTAAAAGAACTGTATGGAAAGTGGAAAGACTTGATTAGTTTAGGAGATAAGATTTTAGCCCACTTCTGTACTTTTGTCACCTGGGGCAAATTGTTTAACTTCTCTGTGACTGTTTCCTTATCTGTCAAGTGAAGTACCTCAAATTCTGTGTCATTCTTCCAAATATGGCACAGGTGTGCTTAGATTCAGTTCAGCTTCACCATGATCTCCCCAACTCCTTGGGCCTCAGACACAGGGTGAGGCTTTTTTGTTCACAGCTTTCTTTGACTCCTTTTTCCTAGGGGATTTTATCTTTTGTAAATCCGGTATGCTGGGTTTTGTTCATAGATAAATAAGAAAAAAAGCTTTCAGCTAGCCACCTTTCCCTGAGGCACTTGTTTTAGGCTCCAGAAACATTCTAGAGGAAAATAGCACTAGCAGCGGTATGATTGGAGAAGTATAGTGAAGGTCATGAGCTTGAACTGTAAAGATCTTGTTTATTGTGACTTTAGTGTTAAAATATGTATTGCTAA